TTTTTTTGCTTTTTTCATTTTGTGTTTTTTGTTTTTGTTTTTTTGTTCTTTATTCCGTGTTCTTCTCAAGGCACGTTTGGGAAGCTAGCAACCGGTAGTTCGAGCCTCGGCAAGGCCCGGCATACCGGTCGGCCGAGGCTCGGACTTGATAGCTGGACCAAGTACTGGTGGTTTAATACTGACATCCCCCGCCTACAACCAGGCGATTGTAATTATATCTGGAAAATAGGCTTTACCATTGCTGTCCTACAAGTAGCACTGAGCAACCACCAACTTGAGCTACGCAATGCTCGTGCAGGGGAGTGGTTTAATCCTCCATCCCACAACTTTGCCTGCATTGTGCATGGACCTGGCCATTATATGGCCATTGTACGCACCTCTGGCCATTGTACTGATTTCTTGCATAATGATGTTTTCTTGCCACACCAAATTGTCAGCAATCTCTTTTATGTTGAAGATCATTCCTCTGGCCCCGTGCTGCACCACGACAATGTACCAACAATCTGCAACCTTCTCCTTTGCACTGCTACAAACATTGTTACCCTCGGCGGTAGTCGCCATCGTCTCTGTCACAATTACTACAATGACATGGTTTATGTATCTATGTGCGTAGACGACTGTCCCTCCGTTCGTGACTGCAGACACCCTCCGCATCCGGACACTATATGTCCATTTTGCGGTCATGGGCGCTATACTGAATGCATATTTCCTTGTGGCGAGCGTTCTTCCTTCATTTTGGCCTGCAATCGACATGCCATTTGTCGAGAGTGTATGTTGGAGGACCGAATTGGTTAGGCATGTCCAACCACCCAGGCACAAACGTGTGGTGCTCCCAGTTTCCACCACGTTGCTGGAGGAGCCTGGAAAGCTCACACATATTTCCAATTCTCACGAGCAAAGCGGATGAAACCAACTGGCGCGTGGCAACTGTCTGCCGCCAACCAAGATGTGCAAAAATTGACGAACTCAGGTCACATTGAGATTCACGGGGCCCGCCTTCACTTAGGACAGGCAGGCGCCTGCTGCAGGGCCTTATGCCGAGGGGTAAAAACCCTCACACAAGTGTGGAGTGTGGTCTTAAAAAAAAGGAAAAAAAAAGGAGAGAAGAAAACAGGTGAAACCAAAAACAAAAAAGCGAACGCTGCAAAATACTCATCCAGAAACTGGAATCATTATTCATCTCTGTGACTTCTCATCCAGTGCATCGAAGCCAGCACCCATCTCACCAAGCAGATTGTTTAAGGCAGCACAGCATGTTGTGCAACAAGAGCATGCTCTTTGGGAAAACCACGAGCTTTCTTGTTCTTTTTTCACCTGTTCCCTTCTTCTTTTTTTTTTTTTCCTTTTTTTTTTGGCACCACCAGTACTTGGCCCAGCTATCGGCCACGGGAAAAAATAGAGTAGAAACGTTTCTAGCCGGATGAATTTGGGCGCTCCTGTAGTGGCCCGTACGTTTCCTAAAATTGTGGCGCGTTAACGGGCACGACTCTAGGAAATACTGGTGGTTAAAGACCACACTCCACACTTGCCCCTTCTGTTCTGGGGGACCACAGTCCGGTTGCTTTTCACCAGCAAACATCAAACAAAGACGGAGGTAAGGAGGAGGCCTCGTCACGTGCGGCACCAGCCATCGTGGCATGGTGACCACCTTTGGTAGCTAGAGAGAAGGCACCCCAAAAAAAAAAAACTCAAAAACACTACAAAACCGTACTCAGAGTAGCGTTTGGAGTTCGCCAAAATTTTCTCCGAATTCGGTATCTTGGCCAACTTTTTTGTTACTACTCCAAATACGTAGAAACTGAATACAGATATACCCTAAAGCACATACATATCACACACAAAAGAAACAAGAGCAAAAAAGCAAAAATTCAGGGAAATATGGCAGTTTCTGTGAAAAATTCGTCGAAAATGACACCACCTATTTACCATTAGTGATGCAGACCCTAATTGCTTCGACTCCTCAACTCCTTAAAGACTGTCAGTGGTGAAGTCCATACTTGCTTACCTTGCACAGACAAAACAGCTTGTCCAGAAACAATCTTGACAGATTTACGCAATACTCGCGACTTCCTCGACTGAATCTGGCTTCTGGCTTACGCTCAGATGGATCCTGAAAAGTTTGTCTGAGTTGCTCAGATTCACCGGCGCCATGGAAAGTCCTCGACATCCCGAGAAATAATTCTGCAGAAATGCATTACCATACCTACAGCAGATGGTCTGTGAGAAGAACGACTGCCATGAGAGATTTTTGTTAGCACTCCCTTGGACAATCCATTACCCTGGCCTCTCACAGCAGGCCACTGAGCGAGGACAAGTCGTTCTCTTAACTGTGGCTCTAGTACGTGGGTCGCTTCGAAATCGATTCACGTTGCATATGTCGAGGCACATCCTCGTTGTCGGCTGGCAACCTGACAACATGAACACAATGCCAGCGATTTCTTCCGTGTTTGGGTAAAGCTTCACAGAGAGTCAAGATATGCTTCATGGGTCTCATGTGAACCATAGCCTTTTTTCTTAGCTGCATGACCGTATGGTGAGAATGCAGCACCATCCCATAGCCTTTCAAGCATGCACTGAAAGCCATGCACAGCCAGGAGTAATGACAGAAAAATGTTGTCACACCAAACCACCAACTCGCACTCACGCGTGAGCTAATACAATCCAAAGCCATGGATGCTGTGGAAACTGTGGGCAATTGCATTGAACATAACGTCACTTGAGCTGTCGGCAACCGGTCAATTCTAAGCACAGAAGCAGAGACTCTAGTTAACAGATGAGCTGCACGCAAATTACTCTCTTTCGGCCGTTCGCCCAACTTCAGTACTAGCCTGAGAGGCACACAGCATAGGTCACCGTCACTCTTAACTTTGGCCGAAAACGGAATGTGTTGGAGCTCAGCAGCAGAGCTCCAGCCAAGAATGTCTTATCCCTCAGCAGCAGAGCTCCATCAGCAGTGACAGTGCTCCCCCATAAACCTGGGCGATTCCCGGTTCGCTCGCAGAAACTGTGAATGTGTAATCTCTTGTTGGTTTCTCTTCCTCCACTAAATCATATGCTTAAATTGAGCACGTCCTCCCGTCCGACCTGAGATCAAACAGTGCTCCATAAATCATCCTCACTTCGCCGAAACAGATACGCTTTCGAGGGGCGGCTGTCATGCAAACTAAGCAGTGCAGCCTTTGGCGTCCTGCTCAGGTCCTGCATGCACACGTTTGCGGACATGCATGCGTGCGGACGCGGACACGAGTGCACATTGTGTAGATGATGGCAACCAAGTGCACTTTTCCACAATACATCCCAATTATAGACAGACAACGTGGAGCAACCACAAACAGATATCTGCTGATCTTGAAGCGAAGAGAAGAGAAGTACCTGTCCAACTCCATGTTGGTGCTTTTCCACAGTACATCCCATTCCAAGAATCCCACCTTTCATGCCACGACTGAAACTTCTGTCGCTCTTTCACATGCCATCCTCTGTCTGCAGCCTGCCACACGCAAACACGTCTCTGAGAGCCTGTGGAGACGGATTGGACGGGGACAGTGTTGACTGTTACAACCCAGGTATCCAGACAGTGGTCTTAACCATGTTATGGGAGAGAAGCAGCACAATATGGGAGAATGCCGGCATCTCCAAGCATACGAGAGTTTGATACAAACTGCAGAAAGAGCAGAAACAAGGAAAGAGAAGCAGTGGAGCTACCAAAGGGCCAAGCCCAGTTGGTACACCCATGAACTGTTGAAATACAGACCCAAGTCCGAGTCCAGATTCGAAAACCAAAAAAGAAAGAAGCAGACGCAGTGGAACTAACGGAAGTACCCATAAAGCTCTAAGTACGATAGAGAGAGGTTCCATGGAGTGGATCTGCTGGAAGTTGGTCCCCGGAGAATGACTCTGAGCATCCGGAAGGGGATGGATGCTTGAGGACCCACCACCGGCCATGATGCGTACTGTCGAGGCTGACATAACTTCTTGTCATCCCTATGACACATAAGCTGATGCCAATGAACGCCGTCCAGTGAGCCCTGCAAAGTTCACAGCCAGCCCACAGAACACACCCATCCATTTCCAATTTTCCAATGATCTGTCATTCATCCATCCATTTTCCCATCTGCCAATACGTGCAGGGCAAACCCCCATTAGTCCATGCAGCCATGAATTGGTGCTGGGAGCCAGAACAAGCAGCAGTCAATTTCCTGTGGTAGTGTAGGGCACAGTAACCACATACGAGTTGATACAACTCAACATTTGGCTAATGTGAGTTTTTTTTTGGTTCTTTTTTTTGAGCCCTGCAGTGCCTGCACTGACAGATAGGAGTGATGATAAGAGCATGCACTCCTACCTGTCTTGCAGGGGCTCCAGTCTATTGGTAGGGAGCCGCACCTGCTGGAAAACGGGTCCCACGTCCCCTGGAGTACAACATCGAGTTCGTAGACCAGTCTCATGCTGAGAACCGGGCCCAGCGTCCCTTTTGATGCTACCCGTTTGTGACAGGATGATAGTGGTAGTGAACGGGAGATGGGGGTGGTGGGGGTGATGGAAAGAATACTGGAAAGGGGACCATAACAGGTTCAGCTGGAAGGACAAAGTTTCCCCGGATCCTAGACTCAGTCACACCCTAATTAAGCAGCTTGTCTGCCGGCACCTTTGCAATCTACCCGCTACTGTCCTACTTACTCCACTCCATACCATTGCATGTCCACCATAGTCAGCTGATGGGGCGGGAAAGGGTTGGGAAAGTCCGAGGGTGGCCGCAACGGGATCCCTTGGCCCACGGTTGTCCAATCTCTGAAGCAGATGCAATAGTCTCTCTTGATCGTCTCCTGGTTGCCTTCCTTGGTGCCTTCATTGCCTTCCTGGGCGTGACCACCATCCCACTTGATGAAGGCGATTCATGCCCGGTTCAACCAGATTTTCACACACCTGAATCCTCCTCACAGCAGACAGAGAGTAGGCATATCATTGCATCCGATACAACGATGCAGAAAAAGAAGTTTCACCCCGAACGCGGATGATAAGGTGAATTCAAGTCGCCTGGGAATACAAACTTGCAATGATCCTCCAACTCTCAGAGCTGAAAACTCAAGATTGAAGCCCAGAGAGGCATTGCAATTCCACATATCAAGAAAGGATGAAGTTTAAAGAAGTGATTAAAGAGTAGAAGACAATGATGAAGAAAGAAGAAGTAGCGGCAGTGAAAAGCAATGAAAGAACCCTTCTTGCTACCTACATACCAGGTAAGACCGACTAGAGTTCAAACTCTTCAGAGCCTCCAGACTAGAGTTCCCTCCTTGTCAACATCTTCAATCTTGCTCTACTCTTTAGCAAAACGATGACTCTTGAATACACCAAGGTAAGACCGACTGGAGTTCAGAGCCTCCAGACTCCAGAGGTTAATGGCGTAAGCGGCTCTACCGGCGAACCAATGGTTACCCGAGCACAGGGAACAAGCCGATCCCAATAGCTCGCACTGTGAAACTGCAAATGGCTCATTAAATCAGTTATCGTTTATTTGGTGGTCTCCTTACCACTCGGATAACCGTGGTAATTCTAGAGCTAATACGTGCAGCATATCCCGACTTCTGGAAGGGATGTATTTATTGGAAAAAAGCTGAGTACGGACGCCGCCCGGCCGGGTGGGCCGCCCGGGCAAACCGGGCGGGCAGAAAAAACAGCCCAGATTTTTTTATTTTTTTTTTGAAAGCGGGGTCCTTCTGTGCTCGGCGAGAGGACCCTAAATCTGCAATAAAAAATCTGGTTTGGGGGGAGGACGGGTTGTCTGGGTGCGGGAGGGGGAGGAGGAGGAGAGAAGAGGAGGAGGAGGAGAGAAGATTGAGGAGGAGAGAAGAGGAGGAGGAGGAGAGAAGATGGAGGAGGAGAGAAGAGGAGGAGGAGAGAAGATGGGCGGAAGAGGAGGAGGAGGAGGAGAGAAGATGGGCGGAAGAGGAGGAGGAGGAGAGAAGAGGAAGGAAAATAAGATGAGGGGGCGGCGGGGAGGAGAAGAAGAAGAAGAAGAAGAAGAAGAAGAAGAAGAAGGGAACAGTTTTTTTCTTTTTTTCTTTTCTTACCTGTCGTTTATCTCGCGACCTATCGCTGACGAATGGAACAAAAAAAAAAGAAAAGAAAAGAAGATAGTCGGAAGAGGAGGAGGCGGAGAGAAGAAGAAGAAGAAGAAGAAGAAGAAGAAGAAGAAGAAGAAGAAGAAGAAGAAGAAGAAGAAGAAGAAGAAGAAGATGGCGGCGGCGGC